CACTGAACCTGCCAATGCCTTGATCTTAAACTTCTTAGCCTCCATAACTGTGAGAAATAGATTTCTGTTCTTTATAAACTACCTAGTCTCAGGTATTTTGTTATAACAGAGCAAATGGACTAAGATACTGCTCAAAAGAATGTAGATGTTGTATCCCCAGACAGAGCATACTCTCAATGCTGCACTGGAGTGCTTGGAACATAACAGATGGAAACAATAATGTGGAGGTTTTATAACATGCATAATAGTATTTAGGGGAATGACGGTAAATTGAAAATTTCTAAATTGTCTGAGAAAAAGAAGTGTTTTGTACACAATTCCCCACAAAAAGGAAATTGTTTATACAGACGGATTTTTTTCCCCTCACATTATATGAGAGTAATAGTACCACCTTTAACTTATTAATTAGAGATACTCTTGAGTTAATTCTCAGGCTCTGGACACTAAACAACAGGAATAGGTTGACAAAGGAAACAATTCTGACAACCTGAAACTATCGATCCTTCCTTTATTCCCTCTTATTTTTCCATTCTGTGCTCTCTCCCCTCAGATAACATAATTTCTCTTTAAGGATTATTACCAGTGATGGCATTGTGGGTTTGAACTTCTCTTTGACTGAGGAAATGTTATTATGTAATGTGGTGGCCACATTTTGTTCTCAGGACTTATTCGTGTTTTCTAAATTTTGCAAATGTAGAGTTGGTACTTGTGGTGCTTATTTGTCATTCAAATAAAACTGCACATTGAAGGAGTCTGAGAAGGAGAGTGTCCATGCCATCTATGCCGGGAGGTAGACACTGATATGTCTTCAAAAGCTTGCTTTCTAGCCTTCCCCTCATGAACACAAGCTCCTTACCCCAACAACCCTAAGCCCTATTGCCAGGGCTCTTGAGAGTCAGTCATAGTTACAAATGGAAAGTTACACGTGAGAAAGATCTCCCTACTGTTTCGACTTCACAGAAATTCCAGAGAAGTACAGCCAATTTGATCTTGAGCTCCTTAAGAGCAGAGACTGCATGACCAACAGTTGTAATCCCAGCACCCAGTATAAAGTGTTGCCAAAAAATTGATATTGAATAAATGTTTAAAATGGCTTGTTTCAATTAAGCCATTCACTATTACATTAGTGCAGCCATTTCTCCATTTCCAGTTGAGGCAGAGAGTCCAGCTCAAACCTCAGGTAACTCTTTTGTTTTCTTTCTTCCTTCGTTTTTCTTTCTTTCTTTCTTTCTTTCTTTTTGTTGTTTTTTGTTTTGTTTTGTTTTGTTTTTGTTTCAGTCCCATTTGTTTCAGGAATTTTGTGGCCTTCATCCTTCAGAATTTCACCCATGGTCTGGGCTGTGACATTAGAATGAGGATTCATAGAGTATCAGTCCTAGCAGTGAAGAAGTCATGTGGAACCCGCTTCAACTGGAGGATTTCCTGGTTATTTTCTGTGCAGATAGGATGTGCCTTCGCTTGCTTACTCAGTAAAGACTTACATGTCAGGAAAAGTACAAGGCCCTGGTAGTACAAAGAAAAACCCAAATCACTGTCTTAAGTAACGGTTGTGTTTGTGCATTATTGTGTCTGTGTGTTTGGGTGAGGAAGGGATACCAGTTGTTTAAAAAAAAAAAAAAATGTTTAAGTTTGGGAACAGGAATTCCACTTCTCCACCGTCTCCTAGTATCTCTTTCAAACTCCAAAGGTGGCTTGCAGCAATAGTGATGCGAAGCTGCCTACTGAAGTATTGAATTTTAAGGATTTCCCAGGAAAACTCAAGAGGACTTTTAAGGAGAACCCAGTATTTGCAGCCTGGAGCCATGAGAAGTCGTAAATCTTGCAGGGAACTGCTGAATCCACTGCGTATGCTGAATCCACTGCGCTAAGTTGGGTCACGGAACCAGACCCGGCTGATGTCATAGGCTGCTGAGTTTAGCAAGGAAAACGGCCGAATGACTAGCTGTCTGGGCCTCTTTTATTGCAGGGCCTCAGCGGCCTCATTCCGGAACCTCAATCCTGCGACCCATCCTGGAACTAACTCCTAGGCCCCTTTACACATTAAGGGGATGTACGTGAAAGGGCCAAGAAAAACTGAGGAAGCAGAAAAATACATCGCAAGCGGAGAGCCATCTTGAGCACCGCCCCCGTTCCCATCTCCAATAGGCTAGGGTTATCCTGATCCCTGTCTGTGATTGGCTGCTCACACAAAGACGCCACCAGCCGGGCGGAGCCTGCGCCTGGGCCCTGCCCGCCGCTCATTGGCACCGACTCTGTAGGCGGGGCCTGGAGCCCACACGGAGTCGCGGAGGAGCCGGTGGTAGTCCCGGCCTTAATCGCTGGCCTTAAAGCTCTGAGCTTCGGGCGCGGACAGGCCGGTAAGTGCTGCGCTGGCAGGTCCAGCTGCTTCTGACTCTGCGGAGCCAGTGGACGGTGTGGAACCAGGCGTCTCCACTTTCGGTTTCCGCTGCAAAGCGGCAGGCCGGGCCGAGGAGGGAGGTGGTGGACACCCCTGCCATTTCTGAAGTCAGGTCCTGCAAGCTCATCTTAGCCGGCGCCCACGTGCCCACTGCCCTGGGGACCTGCACAGCGCCCAGTCCAGGGGATTACGTCCCCATTGCTCCCAGACCCCGGAGGTTACTGCCTTCCCCACCCCATCCCCTTTCCATTTGTGTCCTTCTTCAGGAGTCCTTCCCAGGCTCCTCCCCCTCCCCCGCGAAGGTCCTTCCCAGGCTGGCTGCCCGCCCTGCCAAAGGCACAGTCAGAGCAACTAAACGTTTAATTACTTAAGTTTTCTCAAAGTAATTTATGTATAATAAAAAAAAAAATCGAACCTTAAAGCAGGCCTTATTTTGAAGAGCAGTAACTACACATCTCCAAATCCTCTTTGCTGAGGCCACTGCTTTTAACTTTTCCATGTTTAGGTCTTTCCATTACCCTAAATCAGAATAATATGCTTCCACTGCATTTCTTGACATATCATTTTGATATTTCTTTGCCTCACTTGTCTTACTGCCACAATCTTCTCAATTTTCTATTACTATTTTGGTTCTTCTCTTGATCTTTGTAACTTTAAATAAATAATAGGTATCAAACTTTATTGTTCTGTCAACTTTAGTCTTTAGATGAGGGTATTAACATTTCCTCCGCTTCCTACCTACTATCTGCTGGACTTGAACATTTACATTTAATTCTCACGTATTCAACAAATATTTGAAGTACTGTTCTTGGTGTTAGGGTAATAGAAGTGAACAAAACAATGTCCCTATCCACAAAAAACTTTTAGTTTGAGAAGTCAGACAATAAACAGAAATACATGGCAAATGATGTCAAGAGCAGGGTCGTGGAAAAGTCATTCCTAACTGGGAAATGAGCAAAAACTCAAGTGGGGAAGAATGAATGGACATGGGGTTTGCAGGAAAGTGTGGAAGTTTATCCCTTTGCTTGGCCTAGGCACAGATGCTGTTGCAAGGATGAAGGGAGAGAGCTTCCTATTGGGGAGCCAGGATGGGATCTTGAGTGGGTTAGTGATTTAGCAAAACTAATTTTAGAATACCGGATCCCACAGTTTGGTAGTGATTGTGGGAGGAAGAAAAGCAGGGCAGGGAACCCAGTGAGAAGGCATGCCCTGCCATTGGCCTGAAACAGTCACACAAGATCTACTGCCCTGATTCCTGCAGGAAGCCCCACTGGACTACTCTAAACCACAGTGATTTCTCTCTCTGCTGAATTTGTATTGTACCTTGGAGCTAAAGAGGTTAAGTAATTTGCCCAATATAGAACGGTAGAGCCCCTGGCCCAGCACATGTGAAATGAGAAAAATAAGGGTTTCTACCTAGGGTTGTGAAATAAACTGAGTTAATCCATGAAAAGCGCTCAGAACAGTGCCTAGCAGGTAGTGTAAGTGCTCGAGGAGTGCTTGCTATTATCATTAATGTATAATATGCTCTCAGTTACCTAACAATTTATAAAAGCACTTTGGGTTTAGGAACTATTTTCTATGTCTAGCCAGTTTATTCATTCAACAAATATGTTTTGCAAGAATGTATTCATAGCAGGCCCTGCTTAGGTACCAAGGATATAGTAGTAACTGAGACCAGCGTGGCTCTTCCTTTCACAAACTCTAGCTGGTAATGCAAACCTGCAAAGTGAATGAATAAATATTGCTAACTGAGCCAAGAGCCTGCCACTCACCATTCAAATTCCATACCCATATGTAGCCCTGCAAAATCTCAGGTTTCTAACTGGAGAGGTGACCATCAATATGGGTTTGTCATCAAATGATCTTTGTTTTTATCTTCCAAGGTGTTTTATTTCATCACTGCTTCTAACATATCACTAAAAGCTAGGGAGAGCCTTGGCATCTTGGTAAATAATAAATATGTTAGTGCTGGAGGAGTGGGCAGGGGGTTACAGGGCCTTGGGAAAGAACTGCTGTTTCTCTTATACTTTACACTTTAGTGTGCAACACAAGAAAACAACTTGAGCATATGATACAGTGGTATTCTGGCATATTACTTTTTTGCACCTTGAAGTATATAAATGTAAATGTAAACATACCAGAGAGTGAAGCTGTAGATATTTATGGCCTTATTTTGGATACTGAAATACCACATTTTATGTGACCTTACCCAAGTAAGAATGTTGATTTGAGAGCATTGGCTGGAGTGGGAATGGTCTGGGTAGAGCAAACCCAGAGGAGACTCAGGGTCAACCAAATGAATGAGAACTGAGAATCCCCAGCATCCACTTGCTTAGGCATCCCCCTGTGTCCCTTCTGTGGTGTGAGTAATGTGAACAAATCAGAACTTCAGTGGGAAGGCAAATGCTTATTAAACAAAGTTGATAACGGATCAAAAGGAAGAAGTTTTGGTAATTTTTTTTCAGTCACTAGTTATACCTTTTACTTAACTCTCTGTTCTTCTGTCACCTTTTTCTCTTATTTCTTTTTCTTTTCTTTTCAGCCTTTGCAACTTCTCCTTGGTTGTATTCATGTTCTGAGGAGGGTGTAAGAAGGAACTATGGATCCCACAGCCTTGGTGGAAGCCGTTGTGGAAGAAGTAGCCTGTCCCATCTGCATGACCTTCCTGAGGGAGCCCATGAGCATCGACTGTGGCCACAGCTTCTGCCATAGCTGTCTCTCTGGACTCTGGGAGGTTCCAGGAGAATCCCAGAACTGGGGTTACACCTGTCCCCTCCGTTGAGCTCCTGTCCAGCCAAGGAACCTGAGGCCTAATTGGCAGCTGGCCAGTGTTGTAGAAAAAGTCTGTCTGCTAAGGCTGCATCCAGGAATGGGGCTGAAGGGTGATATGTGTGAGCGCCACAGGGAACAGCTAAAGGTGTTCTGCAAAGAAGATGGCTTAGTAATGTGTGAGGCCTGCAGCCGGTCCCCAGAGCATGAGGCCCACAGTGTCATGCCTGTGGAGGATGTTGCCTGGGAGTATAAGGTGGGAGATGGAGGTTGGACACTCCAGTTTTTCCCCTGCCCCTCACTTGGCCATCTCTGATCAAGGGCTTCGCCGCCAGTGCCAGAGACTGAGAGCTGATTCTTTTAGTTCCTGACACCCCCAGAACCCTGGGATCTGATACAAGGAGCTACACCTTCCCTTGTATTCATGACCTTCTTTTATTCCTTCCCTCCCACTTCTTCCATAGCCCATCCCAGATCCCAGCATGGCTTAATGCCTAACCCAAAGATGATTTCAGTACTAAGAATTTGAAGGAGATCAGTTTGGTTTTAACTGGGATTCTGGATTCCTTGAGTGAGTTTGGGGATGAGGGTATTATATAGGTAGTGAAGGCTGCACCTAACCTGCAAATCCCTCCCAGCAATGCCACAAATAGTCATTTGACCTGGGGTAAGTCACTTTCACTCCTTCATTTTATAGGAAAAACTGAGGCTTAAAAATTTAAGATGGTGGCAAGTGATATTAGAGCTAGAAGGAACCACAGGTGAGTCACTTAGGATTGAGTGAGATTCTCTACTATAGTGTTCTCAGGTCCCTCTAACTTGAGGTGAAGGAAGATCAGGAGCTATGACTCAGGTTATCTTGTTCTTTTTCCTGTTTTCTATCTCCTTTCCCAAGTTGTTTTTTATTTATTTTTCGGCCACGTCTTCTCTGACACAACCTGCTACTCCTTTTCATTGCTAACTGGGTCAGCTTCCAGTGTCCAGACCTCTTTTTGCTCTTTCCTCAGGCTCCCATGCTAACATGTCTTTATCAGAACCATTATCCCAATGATCCCGTGATCCAGTGATCCAGTACAGGTTTTAATTCTCCTTCTTAGAGTTGAGATTAGAAGGTAACAAGGTAGACAAATCCCCTTAATTAGTTTTTTTTTTTTCTATATGGGAAGAATGTCTAAAAAATTAAAAGTATTTACTAACTCATTTTGTTTTGAGAGTATTAAAATAGGAAGATAGTATGACGTGTAGGGGTTAAGAGCTGGGTTAAATCCCAGCCCAGCCATTTGCTACCTGAATGGCTTTGGATAGGTCACTCTCTAAGCGTCAGTTTTTTTTGTCTATAAAATAGGGATAATACCAATCTCAAGAGACTGTAAGTATTATATGTATGTTTAGTGTTTAAGCCATGTCTGACACTTGGTAAATTTAAACAAAATGGTTACTATTAGCAGAATTAAAAATGTCTGAATGTTTTATGTTTTCCAGTAGAAATCTCATGCATTCCTAGGAAAGTGCTTCTTACCTTTAATGTGCATATAGGAACCACCCGGGGATCTGGCTAAAATTCAGATTCTTATTCAGTAGGTCTCAGGTGAAGCCCAAGTTTCTGCATTTCTGACAAGCTCCCAGGTGATGCTTCTGCTGCTGACCCACTTTGACCACACTTTGAAGAACTAGGTTCTAGGAGACTGTAAGATAACATGGTAGATAAGGTTAAAGATAGGCATGGATAGGAAAGTTCAAGGTGTTTTTCTGGAAAGGTTAGGAACGGACCTTTTCTTCCACCTTACAGACATTTAGAGACTGTGGTATTTGAAATGATTCTCAGCTCAAAGAGCCACCTTGGATGTCACCTGGGCAGAGTCTGCTCCCTCTGTGGCATTCATTCTGGCCCACTGCCTGAGGGACACTGGTCTTCCCATAACCTACCAGTGCTAGGAAGCCCAGGCTGCCTGAGCTGGCCTCATGAGGTTTTTATCTCTTGCAATGGAAACTCCATGAGGCTCTAGAACATCTCAAGAAAGAGCAAGAAGAGGCCTGGAAGCTGGAAGTTGGTGAGAGAAAACGAACTGCCGACTGGAAGGCAGGTGCCTCCTGGGGAGAGGAGTTTGTGTTGTCCCTGTGTTGCCCTGTAGCTGGCCCCTGGTAGCTTCCTCATCTCTGTGAAGCAGAATATGGGGTTTGAAGTCAGAGAGCCTGGGGTTCCAACACCAGCTTTCCCCTTACCAGACATGTGTCCTTAGGCAGGCCACCTAAGCTCTCATTTCCAGTGTCTTGATTGTGAGGTAGGGATAACCTGTGGTCTGTGTCCTCACATATGAGAAAGGAAAAGTACGTGCCTCACATACATGCCAGCTCACAGTGGCATGACTTGTATGATTTCTGTTTCACTTTCTCCAATTAGAGCATATTTGCTAAGAGTTCAGTTATTAAAATATTGGAAAATCACTTCTGAAATACATTCCAGGCTAATAAGCACCAAACTATCAGAACTTTTGATCAATAAAAGGTAATATTGAACGGATATAAAAAGCACATTGAATAGATATAATACCAGCAAGAAGAAAAGCCATCTAACAGTGTAGTTAAGTTACACTGCCATAGAGACTTAAGTGTAACACATCTGGTCGTTATTCTGAAAATGGAAACTAGTCTAGAGCAAATAGTACCGAGATAATATCCTGGATCCTACTGGGGTCAAGAAGAGTGGCAGTTGGAACCAGAAGCATCCACCGGAGCTGTGAGAACAGAAAAAGGAAAAATAGCATCCTTTATCTTGTCTCTACACTGCCTGGCACATGGCTGGTACCAAAACATTCCTGAGTATGCGTGTAGGCATGTGCCAGTGTCCTCAGTCCTAGGTGACCCTTACACTACAAATACCATTTGTATTTGACTGTATCTTGACTCCACAGATACAGGTTGAAACCCGAAAGCAGAATATCATATGGGAGTTTGAGAAATACAGGCGATTACTAAAGCAAAAACAGCTACCAGGGCGACAGCCGGAGGTAGAGGCAAAGACAGCTCTGGCCAGCCTGGAGCAGGAGGAGGGGGAGACCCTGCAGAAACTGCAGTCGAACCATGACGAGCTCACCCAGCAGAGCCGAGTCCTGTGGCAAATGATTGCAGAGCTGGAAGAGAGGTCCCAGTGGCCTGTCCGCTGGATGCTGCAGGTGAGGGGCAGATTTCCCTGGGAACCCTGAGTGAGGGCTGGAGACAGACTGGGACTCCGAGAGAGAGGATCAGCGGGTGTTCAGTGGGCCCTATCGGCACTGTGCCAGCTAGTCACAGATCCCATGTGCTCCCAGCTGAGTTCTCCTATCCCTGGTTGATGGTTGACCTGGCCCAGGGTAGCCTCATAGGTTGGGCAGTGCTCAGGCAGCTCCAGCATCATTCCAGGCCCTCCTCTCTGACCTGAGAGTCTGGAGATGGAGCCTGAGTCAGCCAGTCCGGCCAAAGCCCAGCCTGCTCTGCTGTCCTCTTGTGGGCTTCTCCCCTGTGCCTCTACAAGGCTTCTCTCCAGCCTTGGTATCTGTCTCCCTTCCCATAGAGAAACCACCTCCCAGAGTTTGGTATCTGTCTGGTCCCTCTGAGGGATAGCACATACTGACGTGATACATTTTTTTCCTCCTTCTAGGGTATTAAGGAAATCTTACACGGGTATGTCCTATCCTTGAAGCCTCGAGGCAGCCTTATAAGAGATAGTGGGGCCTGGCCAGAGCCAGAAGTGGGAAAGGTGACCCAGTACCTACAGAAAAGCAGGTGCTGGTCCACAGTCTTGTTCCTCTTACATGTATTGGCTAAAGAAGCTTTGTTGTTCTTTCGTTTTTCTTCTTTTTGAAAAAAGAAAAATTGGTCAAACTCAGTTTAGGTATAGGTATAACCAAGGTGAATTTATGGTTTCAAGTAGATCACTCAATGAGGGAAAAAGACTACCCAGAGGCTCCCAGCTCTGAGTTTCAGCTTTTCTCCTTTGTGGCACTTCCTCTCCCAGTGTCACATGCATGTCTGACCCTCCCCACAGTATGGGGATGTGGGTGTTCTCACCTCTGCTCACAGACAGTTTGAGGCTCAGCCATATAATCATCACATCTCTGCCTTGCTGGGGAGGGGCATTTCACTATGTCCCTGGCCAAGCCCCTCTTCCCCAGACTCAGAGAAGGCCCATGTGGCAGAGCCAGGACTCCTGGCCACAAGACTCCGTGTCCTCTACCAGAAGCAAGTCTTGGAGCCTGCAGCGGCCAGAACCAGTGTCCCTGGAGCTGAAGACAGATTGCCGTGTGCTGGGGCTAAGAGAGATCCTGAAGACGTATGCAGGTAACGGATGCTGGAGGACTGTGGGGGGCAGTGAGAGGCTCAGCACCCTCTGGATGCCCCCTCTAGCTTCCTCCCCCCATCCCTGAGAAATCTGTGGCTGTATTTATAAGAGAGACCTCACCCTGGCCCCTGGCTCGATATCAGTGTTACCAGCCAGGATCTTTTTCCCTAGCCGATGTGTGCCTGGATCCAGATACTGCTTATTCCCGCCTCATCGTGTCCGAGGACAGAAAACGTGTGCACTATGGAGACACCAGGCAGAATGTGCCTGACAATCCCGAGAGGTTTTAACGCTACAACATTGTCCTGGTCAGCCAGTGCATCTCCTCAGGCCGGCACTACTGGGAGGTGGAGGTGGGAGAAAGGTCTGAATGGGGCCTGGGGGTTTGTAAGGAAAGCGTAGACCAGAAGGAGGTGGTCTATTTATCCCCACACTATGGGTTCTGGGTGATAAGGCAGAGGAAGGGAGATGAGTACCGCGCAGGCACTGATGAGTACCCACTCCTGTCCCTGCCAGTCCCTCCTCGCCGGGTGGGAGTCTTCCTGGATTATGAAGCCCATGACATCTCCTTCTACAACGTGACTGACAGCAGCTCCCACATTTTCACTTTTCCCTGCTGTCCCTTCCCTGGGCGCCTCCTGCCCTATTTTAGTCCTTGCTACAGCATTGGGGCCAACAACACTGCTCCTCTGGCCATCTGCTCCCTGGACGGGGAGGACTAAGAGAGCTACCATCCTGGCCAGAGGCATTACAGTTTGGCCTGGCCTGCTGAGGTCTTGGAGGACCTTGCCACTGGCAAGTGTGCCCTGGAACTGAGCTGAGCCTAGATCTAGGGATTCCTCTGCCTGACGCAGTGGTCTTTTGCTACTAGGCCAGAGTCTGTCACTAAAGCACTCATGTAAAAAAGCAGGAACCTAGTCAAATGAGCGCTGCGCCCCATGAGGGAGATGTGATAGGGCTGTCAGTGAGGATCAGAGCAGTTCTAAGGCAACTTGTTTGGGTAAGGATCAGTATTTTCTCCATTCTCTAGCTCACACCTCTCTTCCCTGGTTCCTTTCCAGTGCCATAATTAAGTTAGTGAGGATGAGGAAGTGGATGCAATCTTCAGAAAACCTTTAAATAGGGTTTACCAACAAGCCGAAAGAACACTATCTGTATCCAAAGCTGGTTGCCGTGCTGAGACCACTCAGGGGCTGCTTTCCCTGAGATTTGCTGCAACTGAGCAACCTATATTTGATCCTAGCTCTCTGATCCCCGGACTAGAGAAATTTAGTGCAGCAGAGAATGCAGGACCTGCCCAGACCACCCCCTGTCATCCCCTCTCTGAGCACAAGCTGGGAAGATCACTGTTTCTCAGACTGTAAGGAGACCCATGTCCTAGGCCTGCCCTTTTCTCTAAGTGGAAGGATCAGAAAACCTGTGAGCCTTAGTTTTTTATTTTTACTTTATGGATGAGGAAACAAGTGGCCTTAATGAAGCGAGTTATCTCTTATAAGGCTGTTGAAGATAAGATTATAAAAATTATAAAGTGTTTTTCACATTCACATGAAACAAGATTGACAAACTCACTCCTGAGGTTACGTGTCTGCATATCATTCATTATATTTGGGTCTGAAACATCTCACATGTTCGAAAGATTTAAATGTTCTCGTTGGAAAAATGGGTGTAATTCAGCATAAAATCACATATTCTACGGGTAGGATTGTTGTACAGATCCCAGATCCATCCCATGCTTTTGTTCCTTTCTCAGGAATAGAGGCAGGCAGGTGTATGGTAACCTTCCCATCATGGCCAACATCTTTACAACAGAGCCTTTGTCTGTTAGGGGCTCTCTTGACAGTCTGGAGCCCTGCAGGCAGAAAGGTGCCCATCCCAGCGGCACACTGTGGGCCACAGTAGCATATTGTGCATCTGATTACTTGTGTTTGGTTTTGTATTAGAATGTGGACTGTGACCTCAGAGTGGAAGATGGGAATAATACAAAAAAAGTAAAACAAGTGAACAAAAAGAAAGGCTCATGCACCAGCTATTTGGGTTAAAATTTGGATCTTTTGATGTCACCAAGGGAATCTTCATGGTTCTAGAAACTACATAATATTTCCCCTGCGTTTCTCTTCTCTGAATCTATGCCAGAAAGAAGAATGGGGGAGAGAAATGCGGGGGAAACAATGGGACTAGACACCAAAAAGCCAGTTTGGGAGCCATATATTATAATGAAAGGGAATCAAGGCTATCTGTCTAGACAATTAACCTTAAAGTGATTGTTATATGTGGCAGGGAAGGTTCTACCAAAGTAATTTACTAAAAATCTTAAGTGTGTGATGTGGGAGTGATTGTAGCTGGAAATAAACTGTGAGGCACGCATATGAGAATTATCAGCTCTGCTTATTGAGAGGGGCTACATTATGTACGACATCTTCTGTCATCACCATGAGACTGCGTAACATAAGCTCTCACAGAGTTCAAGCTTGAAGATAGTGATCATTGGGTTAGGATTGGGCAACAAAATAGATTCAAGGTTAGGTATAGGCAGAAGCAAAGTAGCTTCAATTGGCTATGGTAAGGAATATTAAAAATTGTGTTTCTACTTGAATTGTATTGGCTGTTCATGTATGAATGAGGTAAAACAAGCAAAAATGAAGACATAAACTCATTCTAGCCACTGAGCTTTCAAGTTGTTCCTTGAGAATTAGCAGTATAAGGGGAGAAGTTTCCATCAGCTGCTTGGTGGGAAATGAGCTGGTGAGTCACAGACCTGGTCCTGGCAACGGGTGGAGCCTTCCTACATTAGAGGGACCAGGTGTCTTTTTGTGGGGTGAGCCTCTGGGGAATAGAGTTGAGAAAGAGGTCATTAGGAAGCACTTCCAGTTATGTCCCTGGACACTTAGAAGAGGGCTGAGACAAATCAGTATTGTTCTTTTACTATGATCTTATTATTATTGTTATTTTTTATTTCAGGACATTATGGGGGTACAGATGTTTAGGTTACATATGTTGCCCTTGCCCCCCCGCCAAGTCCAAATTTCAAGTGCATCCGTCCCTCAGATGGTGCACATCGCACTCCTTCTGTATGCGTATACCTGTCCCCTCCTCCCCCCTCCCCCCTCCCCTCTGCCCAACATCAATAGGTGTTATTCTTATATGTGCACTTATGTGTTGATCAGTTAATACCAATTTGATGGTGAGTACATGTGGTGCTTGTTTTTCCATTCTTGGGATACTTCACTTAGTAGAATGCATTCCAGCTCTATCCAGGAGAATACAAGAGGTGCTATATCACCATTGTTTCTTAAAGATGAATAGTACTCCATGGTATACGTATACCACATTTTATTAATCCACTCATGTATTGATGGACACTTGGGTTGTTTCTACATCTTTGCAATTGTGAATTGTGCTGCTATAAACATTGAGGTGCAGGTGTCCTTCTTATACAGTATCATTTGCTCTTTTGGGTAGATGCCCAGTAATGGGATTGCTGGATCAAATGGTAGTTCTACTTGTATCTCTTTAAGGTATCTCCATATTGCTTTCCACAGAGGTTGCACTAGTTTGCAGTCCCACCAGCAGTGTATGAGTGTTCCTATCTCTCCACATCCATGCCAACATTTATTGTTTTGGGACTTTTTGATAAAGGCCAGTTTCACTGGAGATAAGTGGTATCTCATTGTGGTTTTAAGAAGCTCAACAGACCCCAGGGAGATTCAATGCAAATAGGAAGATACCACGTCATGCAGTCATCAGACTGACCAAAATATCCACTAAAGAGGCCCTTCTACTATGGTCTTATTAGAACAAATTTTGGAAGGTTCTTAGAAAAAGAGGATTATTAGATACTAAATTCATTCAAACCTAGAATAAATTAAGGAATGAAATACATTCATTTATAATGTACTATTTTTGGTTTGTTTATTTTTTACATTTATAAGCTGATTTAGGTGCTATGATGACTTGTTAGAAGAATGACAAGGTTAAACGATGCCATATTATTTCACATTGTCTGATTTTTAAGACCAGGTAAGAAGGTTGAAGTTTTTTAGTACATGAAAATGATTTTCTAATGGGTAGTTGCTTATATCCCCTTCTAAGAACTACATGAAGAAAAGGACCTTGTTTTTCTGGTTCACCATTGTATTCTGGGAATGGTTCTCTCCCTCCCTCCCTCCCTCTCTCCCTCCTTCTCTCTCTCTCTCTCTCTCTCTCTCTCTCTCTCTCTCTCTCTCTCTCTCTCTCTCTATCTGGTTTAAACATTTAGGTGAGGGAACATTCATTGGTATGTCTAGAACCAAAAGGAAAAAAAAAGCTCTTCCTGCCTTAAGGGGGCAGTAAAAACTAGATGATACTTAATTATCCTTATGTTCAAATACTAATTTAATGGATCATTTCTTCTACTGTGACTTTCAAACATATTCTAGAAGGGGAGGAGGCAGATAGCCACACTGAGATGGTGGCTGCACGGCTCCCTGTAATGCCCAGGGTGGCATCCCCAACATCATGCACTCATTCATTATGAGGCAGGAATGAGCTTTTCTCATCCTTTTTTACTAGCAGAGAAACTGAGGGCTGCTATGCCTGAGCATTAAGGGTGAAGGCAGCTAAAAGGGTTAAAAGGGTTGGGTCTTGCAAAAGGAAGACACAGAAGGGCAGATCCCTGAGTTTGAAACTCCCCACAGGAAATCCAGTCTGCCCTTTTTCAAGCAAGGTTAGTTGTAATCTCTTAAAATCCAAACATTAAGGGTGTACTGTGAGTCCCAGGCCCTAGGTAAATGAACACACATTATTTCATGTGTCAGCACAGAGGCCTTATCTGAATGTCTTATGAGAGGCACAGGATTTTCTGTCTGAAGGTAGCCATGACAAGGAGCCAGTGTACTTTAGCAAGTATGTAGTTCAGTAAGTATTTGAGTACTAACAGTGGGCCCCATCTAATTTTAGGGAATTCCTCTGAGAATGAGACACAGAGCGGGTAGGGCAGGCTTTCCAATGGAAATGCTAGGAAGAAATTTCTGTTTTGGGTGTAGGCAGGACTGTACATTTGTTGCCTTACATCTGACTCTTTAATGCAGATAATATTCATTGATTTAATGGACATAGTCAATTTGTTAGGTTGCTTATAGAGAAAGAATAGTGTGACTTTTCAAAAATCAGTATCTTACCAAATATGTTTAGCAACCTTTTGTTTGTATGTAAGGGTTTGCAAGGGAAAGAGTTTCTTTTTACTGCTCTTTGGGACCTCAGTGTGTCATTATCACATTTTTAAGAGGATGATTCCTACTCTGCTATTCTTCAGAAATAGAATACATTCTTGGTAGATAAACGAGTCCAATATTAGCAAGAGAGATGGATGGATACTAAGTTGTTAAGCAGCTGGTCTATTTAAAAGTGTTATCATATGATTATGTATCTATATAGGACTATCCCTTAAAATTATGGAATTAGAATTTGGAGATACCTCAGAGAGCTAAAAATAGAAATACCATTCGATCCAGCAATAGCACTATTAGGCATCTACCCAAAAGAGCACAAAACATT